GCGACGTCGATCGCTTGCCGAAACGAGGCAGAAGAGAAAAGAAAAACAAGAGGTGCCCGCGGCGCACAAGCCGCATCGGCGGACACGGGAAAACGCCGTTGAACTGCTCCTTACCTGCGCGCACTATGGAATATTATATAGCTGGGAGGCGAGCACGCGCTGGAGAAAGAGAGCTCGCCTAGCAACTGAATTGCCTGATATACGCTCTCTCGCTCTCTCTCTCTCTCTCTGCCTCTCTAACGTTGCGTGTGTGCCGTGTCCCTATATACATTCAGGCGCGCACACGCGCGTGAGTCATGCCGTTGGCCTGCCCTCTCTTTCTCTCGCTCGCGTTATTAGAATCGCCTGGACGGAGAGCCGGCTCCGCCTGTACACACGTACGTCGTTCGCCACGCTGCGCGACGCTTCCCGTCCGTCTGCTGTGATGCTCTCTCGTGTCGACGAGAATTTCAGCCTTTGCTTGGCTCTCTCTCTCTCTCTCTCTCTCGTCCTTTTTTCTCCCCGTCGGGGCCGTGATTGCCAGCAACACAATTTAGTCGATCCGAACGGTGGCACGGCACCATTAGCATGCGCGGCCACCAAAAAATCTTGCTTTCCGAAGCGCTCGCTGGATCCGTTGGATGAAATTCCGAACAGCTATGCTCGGCGTCGAATTGGAAGAGGCACCTTTTTTATTAACGTTGCGATATCCGTTTATCTCTCTAATACGACTTTCTTCCAACGTCTTGTATTAAATATTCTATCGTCGCAAAACGCTCGTACCCGAGGAATAGACAGAGACTGCCACGTTGAGCAAGTAAAGTTTCTTATTTGCATCGATGTACCGCTTTTTCTAATTTGGTTCGAAGGGATCTTGCTTATTTAATTCAGTTGTCGCGCATGCAGCAAATAACGCTGCACGTGCTCCACGCGCAACGCACAACAGCGTCGATTCGAGCAGCACATTCTTGTCCATCAAGTTAGCGTTGAGAGAGTTAGAGAAGCAAGAGTGGCCGCTTGATGGCTTGAACTCTCTCGCATCTCGATGCGTTTCCCGTATCAGACGATGACATCGGTGACATACTTCTTCGAGCAATATCCTCCCACTCTTTTCTCCGGCATTGCAGCTTGCTCAAAAAAGAAACGAGGAATGAAGAGAGAGAGAGAGAGAGAGAGAGCGATAAGAGTGTAATCGCGGAAACGCAACGTTACCTAACGGTCTATATAACGCGTCGCGTATAACTCGGTCGGCCTTCTTTTTTATTTTCCAACGGAACGAATCTCGCGAGACTTTCACCGAATAAAACGCCGCGCGCGTCCCTTTCTTTTTTTTCATACAGTGAGAACTTCTTTCGCATTGTTGTCGACTTTTCCTGCGACGCCGATGCCAAGATTGCCGTCGTGGGAAATTTGATTAGCGCGCGAGCAGAGAGATGTTTGAGCTTACGAGCTATCTTTTACTAGAGCGCGTTATCCTCTTTACACACGGCGATAAAGCATATAAACAAAGAATCATGGGATACGTGATTGTCGTGGCTGACGTTCCACGGCTACGAGTCGCGATATATTCATCTACTTGTTCTCTTTTTTTACGCGACACGTTGCCACGATCGCGTCGTCGTTGCCCTTCGACGTATTAGCTTCCGACGAAAAGGGACTCGAGGATTGAAAGTTTGTTACGTAAGATCGACAACTCGTTCGTGACATCTAAAGTGTCATTTAAATTAAAAAAATAAATAAAAAAATAATTACTAGGTCGCGCTTCGGAATTGCCGCAACGTTAGTGACTGCACTGCTATACGCAAACGCGCAAAAAACAAATCAATCGAAATGTGGAACATCGAACAAGCCCCAGCGCGTCGTCGTCGCGGTTCTCATAATATATCACGCGAGGTAGAGCGAAAAATAATTATTCAGCCACAGCCGTCCGCCAAAATAATCACTCCTACGTGGATTCTACGGCCGAAACGGCGTATAAATTTCGATTTACCCGACGCGCGCGCGCATAATTAAAAGCCTCGCAAACATACGCATATACTTTTCTCCCGGCTAACGAATGCGCGATGAAGAAAAATACCACAATTTCCCATTAACAAAACTGCGGCGCGCTCGTTGCTCGCGCTTTATGCAACATTACCGCAATCGATATTTCATCACGGATACGCGAGAGGAAATTGATTCGCCTGGCGTCGTGTTTTTTCAACCGTAAGAGAGACGCGCGTACTCGAACGGATAATGCGCGCGTTCGAGATTGGGATTATGTCGCGCCGAGATGAAATCGCAAAGGCGATCGTCTGTCGGCCCGCGAGGCCGCGCCTCGCCGCAGCCCGAAATTGCGAAATAACGAGACGCGGATGGCGGCTCGTCGGTGCGAAAGTGTACAAAAAGCCGCGCGCGCGTCGCTTCTCATTGAAAAGCTTAGTAACAAAAGAGCGTCGCGAACAAAGCTTTTTTTGTTACTTCTCTCTCTTTTTTTTTCCGGCCAGATGCGCTTCCGGCGTGGGGAAAGGACTCGTCTCGATGGATTCATCCCGAACTCTGCAACGGCGCGCGGCGAGTCGAAGTTTCGGACGCCTCTCGTCATACTTCGCGCAATCGCGGCGACGGCGAGAGGGCGCGCTGCAGGCACAGCTCGTTAGCGCGATGGGCTGCGAAAGTTGAGCATTACGACGGCGCGTGTGGCTGTGCAGTGTAATTAGGGGGGACGAGTCGCTGACAACTGTTCCACACGGGCGACGACGGGATTCTCCGGGCTGCGCGCTTTTTTCGACGAGATTCGGCAGACGAGTTGAAGCGATTCGCGAACGCGTCGGCATACATCAACTTGTCGATCGAACGGGCAGGCCACATAGTGCCGGGAATATTCGGGTGAAGAGGCCGCGCGAAGAAACGTTTCAATACCCGTGTGCGAATTAAAATCGCTCGCCGCTCTCTGAACAATAAATTTGCACGCGATGAAACATCAAGTGGATTACTTGTGATAGCACTTGACAAGGCCGCTTCGCAAATTAATACCGCGTTACGGCGTTACGTGACGCAGCGTCAAAAATATAACCAAGACTAAGCCATCGAAAAACTCATTAGCCTACAAAGCTCTCACTTATGGAATTTATGAAGATCGCAAATGAGACATATGGCTCTCGTTCGTTCACTTCAGAACGCATCTGTGCAACGACGCCACGACTCACAGCTAAATTTGACATCGAATATGAGAAAAGCCACTTTGTACCCTCGCGCAGTGCGTTTACTTTTGAAAAGAAAAAAAGATGTTCAGCATAATACCACCGCACTATTAATCGTTTTTAAATATAGATTGCGCGAGGCGAGTGAACTACGAATAACATTGACTTCGAGTCAACCTCTTTTTTTTTAGAACGCGTAAAAAGAACAAGCAAGCACTGTAAGGCATGTGCGTTTATTTTTAATGGAGCGCAGCATAAGGCTGATATACACACGCGCTCTCTTCCTTATCGTTTGCCGCGAAGTGCAATGAATATCCGAGCGCTTTTGAGATTTTCTCTTTATTATCGCTAATGTGATCGGTTGGAACTGTTGATTACATTTTAATACGTTTCGGTACGCAAAAGTACTATCGAATCTTTTTTTTTCGCATCTTGATTTATCAGCTTGTCGAGTCTCACGATTATCTTTTTGGTGAATTTTCGCAAAAATAAAGAAAAAAGGATAAAAACCGCGACGTACAAATAGGAGTTTTTTTTAAGTAAAAAAACAGAACAGAGTAAATAAAATTACGATTCGCTTATGTACTTTTCAGCCAATGAGTTTTACTGATGCGTGATCAACTACTCAGGATGAAAAGCGAAAATGTGAATGACACCGATGGAGAGGAATTTTCACGCGCGCCGATGAACGATGGCCAAGTTAGCTAAAATCCAATCACGAAAGTGAGTGCGGAAACTTTCCAGCGAGCTCCCTCGCTATAAAATACCTGGCCGCAAGGGCCGAGCAGTGGCCGATTTCGTAGATATATATATATAACGTGTGTCGACTCACGTGCTATATACTACACGCACCCCCACTCGACTCTCTCTCTTTCTCTCTCCCGCACCTGTCGGCTTTTAAAGGACACAGCAAGCGACGGCGTTCGAAAGGCACAAGCTTCTCTCTCTCTCTCTCTCTCTCTCTGTGCGCGCTCCCTTTTTGCTCCCCCTTTTGCATTTGCGACAGCGACGATGCCGCGAGGGGAAAAGAAAGGGCTGCACTTTGCACGATACACGGGTCTTTAAAAACGAAGGGGGTCTTTTTCTTCATGCGAGAAAGATTTTGTCTTTCGTGCGTATGCATGTAGAAAGGAGAATACAGTTTCAAAGGTTTGGTTATATAGGAAAACCGGTTTCGATGAGCATTTTTGCACGGAAAAGGATAGCGTTGCTCTGAATCATCTATGTGCGATACTTCGTTTTACGAATTTCTTTGTGCGGGAACAATGCAATTACTACATCGATATCGTTATAACCAACTTGTGCAAGATATTTCAAAATTACACTGTTGAATAGCTTTTCAAAGTAAACCAGAAAGATCACGCCTTAAATTCATATTGCAACAAAACAATGAACAACTCAATCAACGCGAAGAGATAGCAAGGAAGTATTATGAGGTAAAGCATCGTCCTCGATGCATCTTGCCTACTTATTATAAGACAAAGGTGTCGTGGTTTCCACGCAAAGCTTTCCTTTTTCGTCCCCAATATCTCCTTCACTCGGGATTTCGCGTACACGCATCAAGTCGGTCAACAGGTCGATTATCTCGTTCTTGTCAGCATACGAGGGATCAACATTTAACCGAGTGGAAAACCATTGCTAATTAATCAATTGTTTAACAATAATCACATATCGCTTACGAACACCCCGTTAAACTCTATATTATGACAAAATCGACGCAGAGGCTCTAATATACTGGTGTCGTGACAAGCAGCGAGTTGCATCAATGGCAAGGTCGATAACCCCACTCGTAACTATAGGTACACTATGCTCCGAAGAAAAAATAAAACACAGACCAACCTCGAGTCACACGATTATCAGCTCTGCATCACACCAAATGTTTAAGTACTACACACTGCACGCACTTTTTTGTAAAACTTTCGGAGTGTCGTGAGATGATTAAAAGAACCATACAACACATACACAGATACACGCGCAACGTTTTTGGAGTTAGCGGTGCAGAACAATAACAATAAGAAAAAAATCGAAGCGCGCTCCACGAGCATTCGCGAGCCACTGACTGCGCTGCCGCTGCTGTTGCTGCACGAACGAGCGAGAGAAAGACATGCCCCACCGAAACGCGCGCTGTGCACGAAGGAATGAACGCTGCTAGCAACCGGCTTCTCACACTGTACATCGCCCCGTCGTGCTGTGCTGGTGGCGGCTCGGACTGGCTCTTGTGTACGACATGTCATATTTGCTATAGTTAGTGTTATGTGATGGTGATGATGGTGGCGGCGCTTACAGATTATTATGCTTGCATAGGTAGACGATGTAGGTGCATGCGCAACGTTTCTAAACCGATTTTTGGAGCAGGCTAGAAATTTTTAAGATGACTGCTTATTTTTTATTTGCTAATCGTTCAGCTCCAAAATTCCGTGAAATTGGTTCGTTGGTGTAGTTCAAAGCAAATTAAATAACAATAAAATAAATAATAATGATTTTGGAGTTTGTTCAAACGGGCGTTTCAATGAATTTTTACTTACAGGATTTAAGGTGAAATCGGTAAAATTTGTAAGCTAATATAACAAATACGCAGCTATTTTACTAAAGTTAGTACACATAAGTAATTTTTATGACAAAACTTACTAATTAAATACCAAATAAATTAACAGCTGAAAGTTAAAAAATATTGTATGAGCACAAAACAATATGCGATGTTTGGTGCGATTTGCAAACACTTTTTAATAACGATGACAAAACAAAAAAAATTAAATTTTAACCTTTTTGTTACGAGGGTTTCATTTTAGAATACGTCAAAAATTTTAACAAAACAGTAAGTGAAACGTACTTCAAGATCATTTTCTTGTAAACAATCTATTTTTACATTTTAATCTTGTAAAAAAGTCATTCTTATTAAGTAATCGTATATACAGAATAAGTCACCTAAATATCGTTCAAAATGAATATTTTATCAAAAGTAAAAAAATATTACAATGTCCTGATAATCTTACAATATAAATTACTTTAGCAGATATTACCGATCTTGTAGTATAGATATTTACATATTTTACAGTATAAAATCTTTCTGTAAAATGTTTATCTCGCCGATACGGAAAAATCATGCTAAATCTGCCAACCTTCTTTCTAATAAATCAGCATCTAGCCGGTGTTTACAAAGATATTGTCCTTCTACAAATAATACTGGTATATCATACTTATATAATTTCTTTAAATGTTCATTTCCAGGAGCCATTATATCTACTAATTCAAGTTGGTAACGTCCACTAAATTTAGATTTTAATTCATCTTTGACAACATCGCACAGTGGACATACATTTTTTGTATATAGAGTCAATTTTGGTGGGTTTGAATATGAACTAGACCTATGCGAAATATTTGTCATCATTGTTATGGTTCTATTTATGAACTGAATTAATATTCACTCGAAGTCTTTTTTAATAATATATAACATTTTATTTTTGATATAAAATATAAAACATGAATACAAAAATAACATCCAATAGTTGTATAAAATAAAGAGCTTAGTATGAAACTGTCTTATCACAATAAAATGCATTATAAAATTACGTTGCTCAATTTCTTGTAAATATTATTTTAATTTGCACACGTAATTAGAACTTGAATCTGAAAACTAACTTACAGTTTTTCAATTAAAATTGAAGATGCACCACCACCTCCATTACAAATAGATGCTACACCTTTCTCGCCTGCTTTCAAAGCATGTACTAAGTGTACAATAATTCTTGCCCCAGACATTCTACAACAACAAAATATGTTCTACTGTTGATTTTGAATCTAATTTATTTTTATTTTAGTGTTATTGCAGCTATATTCATCACTAAAAAGAATCTACTCACCCAATAGGATGTCCTAACGATACAGCTCCACCATGTATATTTATTTTAGCAGGATCAATATCCAACAATTTTTGATTAGCAACAACAACAACACTGAAAGCTTCATTTATTTCCCACAATGCTACGTCATTTTTGTTGATTCCAGCATTTTTCAACAACTACAACATCATTCATACATTTAATATTTACAAGATTCATTACAACAAAAGTCGATTTACATTTTTTTAATTACTAGTAAAATTACAGTACAATTATTCATTAAAGAAACGGTACTAAGTCGGAAGCATACTCTTTCAAATTAAACTAGCCCCAATGAAATCAAGCCGTTTTGAAGATATGCGCGAACATACATGAAAAAAACTCGATCAAATACAAAACCTTCTTTTTTTTCAAAGTTGGTAATTAGTTTAAATAAAAATGAAATAATTATTAAACAATACTCACAGCTGGAATACCTAGAGATGGAGCAATTGGAAAATCAATTGGTTCAGTGGCAGAATCTTGAAAACCAGCAATTCTGGCCAAAGGTTTCAAATTCAATTTTTGAGCATTGTCGGTAGTAGTCAATATGAGAGCAGCTGCGCCATCATTTAAAGTAGAGGCATTTCCTGCAGTTACAGTTCCATTTTCTTTCTAGAATACAAAAGTATATACATTATATGTTGTAGTGAAACTAACTTATACAATATAATTCATTTACTATACAGTATACCTGGAAGACTGTTGATAGTTTGTTAAACTTTTCAAAATTCACTCTCTTGTATTCCTCATCTACACTGAAAATAATATCTGGTTTGCCCTTTTTTTGAGGAACATTTACAGACACTAATTCATCTTTGAACATATTCTGTTCATAAGCAGCAGCACTTCGCTTGTAACTGTTGATTGCATATTCATCTTGTAGTTCACGAGTAATTTGTAATTTTTTAGCAGTATTCTCTGCACAGTTACCCATGTGAAATTTGTGGTACACATCAGTCAATCCATCAAATACAATGCCATCCTAGAAATAAAAAGATAAATTTAAAATTAACTGTTCTCGAGTATTTGATTTACTAAAATAACTTCAATAACTGAAGGTTATTATATCAATAAATTTTATAAACTATAAAACATATTATACACTTCAGCATGGTGAGGTATAAAAATTATCATAAATTGGTAAAAATTTTATAAAAATTGTATTTATTGATATGATTAATATTAATATTGAAAAAATATACCTCAAGCTTAACACCTCCATAAGGTGTCTCACCACGTTTCATGTAATATGGAACATTAGACATAGATTCCATACCACCAGCAAGAACAATATCCTGATGCCCACATTGTAAAGCTTGCGCACCTAACATGACACTCTTCATACCACTTGCACATACCTTGTTGATGGTTGTACAGATAGTTGATTTTGGAAGACCTAATAAATACACATGATTTGATTAAGAGAATAAAATCCTTTCCATTTAAAACAAAAATTCTAAGTTGTGTGAGAATGATAATAATGAAGATACAAACCTGCAAATAATGTAGATTGCCTAGCAGGAGCTTGTCCCAGAAATCCTTGGCAGACATTACCCATGTAAACCTCTTTTACTTGCTCCTTAGCAATTCCAGCTCTTTCAATAGCAGCCTGAATATGAAATTGAGTTAAAAAATAACCTAACTAGGTTCATATTTAAATCTCTAAATTTTTAAACAGATTAATCTTTAATCAAATTTGATTTTTAAAATTATTACATCAATAGATATTTACCTGGATTGCTACAGCACCAAGTTTAGTTGCAGACAAAGATGAAAGAGATCCAAGGAAGGATCCCATTGGAGTCCTAGCAGCACTGACAATAACAACATCATTCAGTTTTACTTTGGAACCGTAGAACCTCTTAGGTAAAACTGTAACCTGTGAAATATAATTATGTTTTTAAAACAAGTGCTTGTTAATTTAAAAGGTAAATTAAATAAAAGTATCCCTCATTGATATACATTGAATTAAAAATAGTAAGCTATGATGAAACATTGGATATGTTAATCAACTTGTTGGCTTATATTTTTACTTATTCATGAGTTGTTTTTAAAGTTGATCTAATAAAATAAAATATTCTATAAAATAATTTTTTTTTAAATATTGTTATATTGTTATAATATTGAAATATTGTTATTCTTATAAAAAATTGAAATTCCACTTATTAAAATATTATGTTCAAACAGCCTGCATCATTTTACTAAATTCTACTTAGTACTAATAATACTGATAATTACTGAGAAAACCAAGATTCCTTAATTTTTTAATTAAATTTCAAAATTTGAATCTCCAAACTACTGCAAATTTTCAAATATCATTCAAAACTTCAGATTACGTAATCTTGATGAAGTTAATATTTTATTGATTCCATTGTATTTTTAATAAAAATATTCCCGTATACAGCTGATTACTTTATATTACCTCGAAAAAATATGTACAACTTCAACTTACTTTATTTAACGAAATCATGTTGAACTTTAATGTTCTTCTTTACACCAAACCTTCCAATGAGACTCCTGCGATTATTACTAAAGCACTGACATAAGTAACTTATTATTTTATTTGTATATCACGTCCACATGCCACATATAAAAAATCCAAAGAACCACTTGCTTTGTCTCTCCCACGTTGCCACTATGATATCACGCAATCACGTCTCAAAAATAAAAAAAAACTTCTATGGTGATGGCGCCACTTCTCGGAGTTATTTATCCCAACCATTCGTCGGTTCAACGAATTCCGAATTTTCCACCCCTCGATGGTTTTATGCTTTGCTGATGACAGATATACAGTAAACAGTACACGTACATACATACATAAATATATAATATACGAATATGGAGTATGTATAAATTTGAAATTATTGTCTGTTATTTTAAGAAAACTATTAGTAATTTCATTCAGCCATATGTAGGTGACATCGTTTATTTCCAACCAAATGAAATAGTTTACGTACTGTATTGATATTAAAATTAGTTATCATTTAACTCGAACAGACATGACGAACAGACCTTATGTGAAGCGACAGTGCAAAGAATCAATGACCTGAAGTTTGCGGCGTAAGGCATTTTGAAAGATCGAGCTCTTCGATTTAGCCTAGCACTGAAAATATTAGCGCGGGTAAATTGTCAACATCAGGTCAACACATTCGGTAAGCACGCGTTTACTGTTGTGTTTTGTCTACCGCAGTTTCTGAATGATACAGTTTAGAGAAACTTTTCACTACTAATTGAATTTCAATTTTATTTTTGTTGTTTTATCAGTACTAACTAATTGTCATCATGGTTAGAACGAAAGCTGATGGTTCAACGAGAGGTAATGTGTTTATATTATAAACTGAAACTGTTGCATTTTTTATTACGTATAACATTCAATTCTTTTTTATTTTACGTTTTACATAAATAATTATTTTTGTGGTTGATATCAATAGTTTTGTGATGATAGTAATATACTTTTATAGATTTTCTATCTTATATCAGTCATTTGTAAAAGTAATTTTGTTCAAAAATAAACATTAGTAATTTAATTCCAATTGATTATAAAATCAAAATTTTAGTGGCTGCTGGAGGTAAAGCACCTAAGAAAACTGCTAACAAGCCTGTGCGTATTGCTTCACCAAGTGCAAATGACAAAGGAGGTATGATTTTGTTCATGAATTCTATTATCACTTTATTAAAATACACTTCTTCTGAAAGTAAAATAATATAATTCTGTTATCTCATTCATCAAAATAAATTCTAATAAATACTACTATTAAATTATATATCATTTTTTGATAGGAAAAGATCATCTCCCAGGGAATCGTGCCTGTCCTCGCGAAACACCAGCTTGGCAAAAAAAGATAACATTTTTTTATGATAAAAATGCAATACCAAGTAAATCTACAGAAGACTCTGATGATGAAAGTAACTCAAAGAACAATTTCAAACCAAAGACCAACACAGAAGCAGATAAATCTTCAACAAGTATAGATGATCAAGATAATTGTGAAATGGAAATAGAAAATTGCAGTATATTGGAATCCTCTAAAGTTAGTGAAAATGTATTTATTGAGTACATTTTGAAAAACACTAAACTGATTAATTAAAATTTTTATTTACAGGTTGACGAATCTGAATCTATAGAAATAGATGAATAATAGTTTTATACTTTTGTACTATAAGTGAAATTCTCTTAAATTTATTGGTTGTACAGTCTTAGACTTGTTATATTTCTTTAAGTATCAAAGATTTATGATCTCCATGAGTTTAACAATTTTTTGTTCAATGTCTAATTTTAATATGTATCTTTAACTGTAAGCTATTATAGTATGATGTTGTAAGTGTTCGTTTTGATACATTTGTAATAAAATATACAGTTATTAAATAAGTTGTAGAAAGTGTATATTTGAAAACTTAAAAATATTGTATATATAGTTTTTAATATTTTATTGAGACAAGGTAAGCTAAAAAAATTATGAAACTATTTTAAGTCATATTTTTCCATGTCTAATTCTAACAAATATGATGCTGGACCTTTTTAATTCAAGTACTCTAATGGTATATGTTCTTATCTTCAGATAAATTTTATCAATAAATATTTTATTTTTTTAAATGAAGGTTTGCGAATATAATAAGTGAAATTGCTGCAAGAATATGTAAAAATAAACATTTCAGCTGGATTTTCCAAATTAGATGTTAGTATAATTGATTCTCATACATTTTTTTGTGCTCATTTATTTCATTTATTGCAGCAATTAGAAGATCCTTTATTAAATTTCGAAAATTCTTTACATTTCTGACAGAAATCTAAATAAAGCACTAATATTACATTACAATCATAATATCAACAATATTTACAGAATTTTTTTTCTTTGATATCAAAATTAATTGAAATCCAGGCGCTTTCATTTGTTGATATCTTTATGAGTTCACAATTCAGATCATCGTCAGCAGTGATTGGCGATTTTTTCAAATTCAAACGTAATCATATAATCAGATTTGCTAATTTGCTATGAACTGAATGATTTCCGGTGTTAATATACTATAAAAATCATCTAGGTATTTTTATTAGGTTTTCACCATAATTTAAGTAAAACGTTTATCGGTAAGGAAAATAGACTTCTTTAAACCACCATTGTCGTTAAATCAATTATTGACTTTGAATTTGGGTCTGATTAGGACTTTCTGCTTTTATACTTTGAACCTACCGTAATTCGTTATAACATTAACATATTTTATAATCAATATATGTACATACATATAACAATAATATAGTAAGAATATTGAGAATATAGAAATATTTAAGCATAATATAATAATAGTAATAATAATAATTTTATCTTTCTCTTTCTTATAAAAAGAGAACCTGGCAAAAGGAAGTCAGTTTATTCGTGATCTGATTATGGCTGAAGGATATGATAATAGTAAACTATACTATTTTTTTAAAACTTTTATTACACTTATTAACATGTATTTTAAACTTTTGAATTATGTTTTTCAACACAGATCTTCGGATGATAGAAACTCAAAACTTCATTGATAACATTTTTTAAATTATGAGTATCAACGTAACTGTATATTTTTATATTACCAATATAATATATCATCATTTACATCTCATATCAAGTCAAGGGAATATCAAGTCAATAATGTATGTATTGATTTTTCGAATTTTCAATTTTATCAATAAAAGTTTTGATCTCTATATTCATGCATTAAAATGAATACAAAAAAAAGCGAAAAACACGAGCGCTCAAATCGCGCTAGACATCACTAGTAACTAATAAAGTTCAGCTTTAGAATAAATATAATAAAAATAGTACTTACGTATGTAACTTTTTATCCATTGATTGCTATATTACACCATACGGATTTTGATGATATTAAAAAGATCAAGCAATACTTCAGAGATTTCACCTGTTTTTCATAAAAATATGTCTTGGGATTGAAATTTATTTATACAAAGAATTTCTACAAGGATTTTTAGTTGGCAATGCTATTGCATCTGTTAGTTTTAACTGGGATTTACAATTGCGGTATGATTAAATCACACGTTTTTAAATGTATTTATACAAAATTGAAGAAAATTTATAGTTAAAAATTATGTTAAAAATTTACCATTTTAGTAGGAGATATGATTGTTGCACATGCTTATTTATAATTTAAAAGTATATCACCAGTCACTCATTTTTACACATACTATACCGCTATAATCAATATTTAAGAATTACTAAATAATTAACTCAACAATCGCTATGCAATTATCAGTTGTATTAACTAAAATTTTATTTATTTTTACATAGATATTGTGGATGGATCCAGAGCAAGACTACTTTAAGAGTTTTATAAATTTATAGTTTTAGACAGATTTCAAAAAATAAACGCAGATTGAATGATCTTTCAAAGAATGACCATTAGGTTTAAAAAAGAACTTTACAGCTTATTCTGCTTGACAATTTAATTTTCATTCTCAAGTCGATTTTTAAACAATAAATGTTACAGATTTCTTAACCTTATTCTTAAGGTTTCAGTCCTACACAATTCAAAATTACAAATATCAGGCGTAAAATCAAAATTTTAGTTACTATTTAGCTTTTTTACATAAAACTAGAATTATTGACCCGCTATACAATATTTGGAAATTCGAAAGTAATAACACGTTGCTTTTTTATTTTTCATTGACCAGTAATGACTTAAATTCAAATTTTTCAAAAGAAATAATGATTTATGCACTGAGTTATAACGTGGTCATTTATATGCTGATCATAGTCACACTTTTTTATGACACTCTTTATCTCTGTCACACCAACCTATAACTAAAGAATAACTTTTAATTATATTACTGGTTTTAAGTATGACTTGCACTTTCAGGCTATTGATCTAGAAAATGAGTTGACTAGACTGATTGTTATTAAGTAAACGACAATTAATATGTTTATTGTTTGATTTGATAGCATGTTAGCTATCGCAGACGTTTGCCACCATTAGAAATTTGAAAAGAATACCGGTAATACCGTTGAAATTGGCGCTTTAGATTTTTATGTATCAGCTTTCATAATTTACCTGATAGATCAACGCTTTAAAACGATTAGTTATTCATTTTTTCTTCTGAAAAAAAGTAATTTCTTAACTTATTATTTGTGTTTTTTTCCGAGATCCAAATATAAAACTACATCAGCTTTCTTTAATTTATGTATATACAGTTTATGTGTTTGAAAAATCTACGATCGTATTTTTTTCGTAGTATAATAAAAAGAACTGAAAAAGTTTTCAAAATTAACTTTGTTTTAAATATTCTTTCAATAGCTGCTTATTTCTACATTCTAATTTACTAAAGTAGATGACGAAAAATTTCAAGGTAAATGTAAAAAAATATTCCCAGTAAAAACAAGTCTTACGTAATTGAGGAATAAGAGAACGAATGAAATGGATTGATATTCAGTCTAGTCATAAGATCTATGTTTGACGAAAATGAATTTAATTATATAATTTTAATCCAGAAATTAATCGTTTGAAAAAAGTATTGTATATCCTAAACAATATTAACTTATTTATTAGCAATCTCAAGTTATAAATAATGTCATTAATTTTGACGTAAATGAAGGTTATTAGATTTACTAAAGAGCCAACGAAAGTACTTTTACTTAAAAAAAATTAACATGTTATATAATTCATTGGTTACTTTCAAAAACCAATGAATTATTTATAAGTTTCTAGCTAACTTGAAGGTTAATGTAAAACGGTGATCAGCATATGTAATAATTTTTATTCATTGTATCAAGTTAGTTACAGTTATAAGTGACTACATTAGTTTCAATATTTTTATGAGTTTAGATGTTCAGAAATTCGATATAATGTATAAATTTACGTTATATATTTTTATTTTAAACATATTAATCATTCGAGTCAACAGAAATATAATAACGATAAATGTAATATTATTTATTTGATTTGAGTTTTCAGTATACATTTCGAGGATTAATTGATAGATAAAACGCTATATTAACTAGTAAAAGGAAGTGAATCATCAGACTTTGACTAAATTGTGATTAAATTATTCCAAAAATGCAATTGAATATCAAAGTATTTAAATGTGATTAAAAAATATTTTATCATGATTAGAAATCTGTAGGTAGAAATATATATAAACGGTATAATTTGTGATTATATGTTGTATTATTTTGAACTTATGACACTATATTGCAACATTGAATAAAAATCAATGAGGCTTATGTTAACATTGATTATAAATACATGTTGATTTTTCAAGCATTCACTATATGTATACAATTGTAACTAGAAGTTTAAGCTATTCCATATTTATGTCATTTTGAATTGGAAATTTGCATGAAGATTTCGAAATAACTGTAAACGTATTATCAATTCGTCAACTGAATTTTTGCAACTATCATCTAAATATGTGTATATACACAAATATACGAGATTTACTCTCATTGTGTTATAATTTTTATATTACAACGATAAAACTTTTAGAATAATGCATATCCAATATGTTATGACTTTTCGCAGTATCTTGTATTTATTTGAAGATAATTATAATGTAAGACGAATTGTTATTTTTACAATTGAAGTTGTATACTTATAAAATAACGTGAATTACTTTATTTACAATCTTATATGGAATAAATGTGTATTCAAATAAAAGCTTACTAGAAATACACTGTTTTTAATTATAAAATATATTTACGCATGATGAAGTCTTTCACGCATATCATTTTTGCAATAAGTAATGCGACAATAATAATTGTCGTTCTGATGATACCTGTAATTATCGAACTTTTATTTACATAGTTTATGTGTTTGAAAACTGTACGACCGCATTTTCTTTCGTAGAATAATAAAAAGAACTGAAAATGTTGTTGAAACTAGCTTTGCTTTAAATATTCTTACGATAGCTGCTTTTTGACATTCTAATTACAATTTTAAAAGTTTTATAGAATAAAAAAATAGACTCTAAATACCTAAGCCAAAGAGTACCAATTTTTGCATTGAATATAATTTATACAAATCTCTTAAATGCTATTTTATACATTTTTTAAAAATAAAATATATACGAAAAGAAATTATAGATATACTTATAGAGCATACATATAATTTTTAGTTGCAAAATAGAACATTGCAATATCGAAAGTTGTTGTAACTTTTTGCAAAGTTATTCGAATCATCAGGTGACTATCATAAGAGTATAAAAAACAATTAACGTTCGAGATATTTTTGCAAACAATTAAAATTTAAGTTTACAGAAAGTTACAATCCGACTTACACATTACCTTTGATAGTACGACTAATAGAGTATAAAAATTAAAAAAATCAATTGTTTGACTAGCACCTTCTTAATATTTACATGATTAATAGGCAAACAATACGAATGCAGTAGTCAGATACATAAAAAGTTTTTTTTTGTTTTGCAATTATAATTCATTTATAAGTGTCGAAAACGCCAAAACGACCTAATTTCAATACGCAACGAAATTTTCATCGAAAATCGCCAAAAATTACTGAACAAATCGTGGCTTACTTATGAGCAGCGTTAACTTCGCTACCATGATGACTGGAAGCTTTAGATTTGCGTTCCGGATCCATGGCGATGGCTATGAATTCCTCGGACATGCGCTTGTCGAGGCCAGTGTAAGTGCGCGCCACGTCAGCCTCGCCAATCGAGGCCATAGGTTGCTGCTTGTTACTCGTTCGCGACTGTCGATCCTCTGGTGAACTGTTGCTGCTTGAACGGCGGTGACGTTCGCTGTCTGATTGGTCTGCCGAGTGGCGACGCTTCTTTTGCTGCTTGCTGCGGATCTACAAGAACGAATTCTTGATTTTAGTTTGAATTATTTTTTCCAAGTTTGTTTAATGCACATTCTAATAGTGCGTTGTCAGCTTAGAAAAGTCTCAACGCCAACCGTAATTAAACGTTCAATCTCTTCTTAATCGTCCGTAAATTCAGCCGAACAATGCCAAGAATCCCAAAGACAAAGTCGTTAATCTCTCGAACGAAAAAGAAAATCTACGGTTTTTTCGCAATTTGCGCGCGCTAAAGAATGCGGGTCCCAAGCGCGGAACTTCAAAGGCTAAACACACCACACTGCTGGTCGACAACGACGCGCGCTGATCGCGGCGCGATAAAGTCCAACGTGAAAATGTCAGTGAGCGATCCTCATCTCGTTCTCGCGGGACTCTCGCGCAAATAAGGAACGTTATACTTACGATTTGCGAGGGTGGCCTGACGGGTGGATAGATCATCGGAACCGGCACCGCACCCGGTGGTACCGAAGTCAAGAACCCACCGGCGTACTTGCCAGGCGCTGGATGCATTCCGTACGGCGACTGCAAAGAAAAAAAAGGAAGAAACATAAGAACCACGTAAGCGTGAGATATATGTTAAACGAGGAAGCAAATTTTATCGGGGGAATATATGCGCGTGCACTTTTAATGAGATTTAACGAGCCGGAAGATCTTGTACCTTCTTCTTCCGCGAGAGGCAAGCTCGTTAAAATGACTGATGCACCAACATTGGCTATTGGAAATTACTGCTTGTTGTGAAGAAGTTGTATGTTATGGAGTTGATTTTTTCTTTGGTATTCGTTATGTGCCTTTAATTGTGTGGGATTTTAAAAGGAATAAGTGAGATAATAAGAGTAACGAATGGTATTTTTATCGACTAATTGGATCGTTCACCAATATGTTTTCAATACGTCTTTTATTTTTGTGCACGGTTGCAAGTATGTAAAGCAAACTGTTGAGTAAGGCAGTAGATATATAATTTCGTGACCTCGAGATTCTTATTTTAGTTGGTAATATTGTTAAAAAATCTTAAAAAACGACTTTGGCTTTATTAAAAATCCACACATGCCGATTCCAAAAGTTCAATTTCATCAAGTATTTTTTCGAATTACGAACTTTTATGTATATAATCTTATTATTATTTATTATTAACTTTTATTTACATATTTATTTCCAGATTGTCTTCTTCAATCAGTACAGAAAATCAAAATTGTATTTTCCCGCTTGAAATACCAGTTCACAAAAGTTACGTAAGAGGTCGCGTTAATAATTGAAACTGGCAAAGTTGATGACTGACAGTCACTCCACTGCCTAATTTAAAGAATGTATTACGCTACAGGTGATCTCATATAATTTATGTCTTTTTCATCGGGTGCCAGCATTTTAGATTATTCCAGTGAATCTTTTCATCCACAGTTAAAAAAATGGCATTAAACATTTCAGATAGTCATGTAAGTCTAAAATTTATAATGTTTATGTAACGCGAATAATTAAAATTTAATTTTTTCTTGAGTTATTTTAGGATATTGAAGACATCAAAATTGAAAATAACATTGTAAATGGAGTTCATTTGGATTTAGTTGAGAATCCTAACATTGGTGAATTAATTATTGATAATTTGAATCGACACCTAGATCATATTGCACAGGTGGCGTAATAAATAATTTATAATGGAGATTCGTCTAAACAATACTTTCTAGAGCGCGATCTATTATTAAAAATATCATTACAATAGCATTTACTAATTCAATAACAAATGAATCTGCAAATCATTGCAGATTGAAGTAGAAACAGATAAGGAAACTAGATTTGCTGATATGAAAGATAAAAGCTCGAGGTGTGGCTTATGGATGCAAAATGAAAAGATCGGCCTTGGAGATATTATTATAATTTGTTCGCATAACCATTCAGATGTTTATGTACCAATATTCGCGGCATTTTATCTTGGAGCAAGTGTTAGTGGATGGGACTACGAAATATCATTAAGTATTAATTATGTTATATTGAATGGATTGTCAGTGATTGATTTTTGCTTTTCAATTTAAATTTCATTGAATTTTTGTAGAATCTGCCCAACATTTAATCAAATTTTTCAAACCGAAGCTGATATTTTCTTGCGAATCGGCCGTTAACACTATACTAGAGGCTGCAAAATTAGAACAAATTCAAACTACTATAATCGTATTTGGCAAACATTCCAACGTCCAGTCATTAGACGATATACTCGAAAATCATGCAATCGAAAAAGTTCAATCTTTTCAGCCTCGTAAAGTCAAAGATCCAAATACAACTGCTATAATAGTATTGACGTCTGGGAGTACGAGTGCTCCGAAAGGTGTCATACATTCATACAAGAATGTGTCGATATGTATACAAACGTATCTCGCTTATCCTTTTAAGAATGTATGCTTATGGTATTCCACGGTTTACTGGGTTACTGGAATGATTTTATTGCTTCAAACGTTTTTTGCCCTTGGAACGAGAATCATTCATAAGATCTGGAATGTCGATGATTTCTGTAGAGTTATTCAGAAATATAAAGTATATATTTTATAATCGAGATGTAATTGGAAATATATTAATTCAAGGTACGATTCAAATTAGGTCCAGCGAATATTTGCTGCTCCAACTGTATTCAACCACTTATGTAAATCAGACGCCCTGACAAAGTACAATCTCGAGTCTTTGGAGTACGTCTGTATCGGTGGTTCGAAATTGAGTGCCGTAGTGATGAAGGTCTTGAGAGAGAAATTGCCAAAAGCTTCGATAGTCCAAGTATATGGTGTGAAGTGAATTTTCGCATGTATGGAAACATTGCGTTGGAAATCATCTGATAATTTTTTGTCTGTAGGTTCATCGGAAACAAATCGTCTAATAACATCTCAATCGAAAAATAGCAATAACCTCAATACTGTTGGTTATCCTGCACCGAATACCCAAGTGAAAATAGTGGATGTAAAAACTAAGGAGACACTTGGAGCCAATCAACCGGGTGAGATTTGTGTGAAGCAAACAAATCTGATGCTGGGTTATTTTAATAACTTGGAACTAACGAAACAGGTTATTGACGAACAAGGTAAATAAATCTTGTAAGATAATTAGTGATATGAATTTAACCGAGGAAAGTTTACTTTCTGTCTTTGTTATGAACTGCAGGCTGGCTGCATCTTGGTGATGAAGGTTTCTACGACAACAATGGAGAAATCACTATAATTGGTAGATACAAGGACATGATAAAGTGCCGTAATTTTTGTATTTCACCAACAGACTTGGAAGATATTTTACTGTCTCATCCGGCAGTGGTGGAAGTTGCAGTGGTGCCTATACCGCATAGTATTGACGTTGAACAGCCGATTGCGTTCGTCAAAAGAAGGGCCAAGGTTTCAAGTTATCTTTTATCGCGATCGAAATAAAAAGCGAAGGACAAATTTACAAAATTTTACGTGGCTTTTAGGTGAGCGAAGAGGAGCTCGTAAATATGACACTAGTTTTAGGAGAAAATACGAAGCTAAGAGGAGGAGTTGAATTCGTAGACGAATTGCCGAAATTACCGACGGGAAAAATTGATAAACAACAGTTGAAGAAATTGGCTTTGACGATAGCAGGCAAACGTTCTTCTTAGAATGATATATTTACTTTTACATTAATTTGTAAAAACAAAGAAAAAATTAAAATGATTGGAATATAGTTAGAATAATCCAAATCCTAGCCTTCCATAATAACTTGTTGAAGGCTAGGATTTGGATATTAGAACTTTAAAAAAGAATTAACTTAATGAGCTTTCCGCTGTAACGTTACAATATTTTGTTAAGATTAATGAATTTCAAAATATAATCTTGCCTTTAAACAATAAAACACGAACTCTGTAGCATCGTCTATAGATATCGTCTTGTATGATTTTATCTTACAGAAATCTATTGTTATATATTAAATGAGGAATGCATATTTTTTGGTAAAATTAATGAGAAATTAAGAAAAATCAATTATTCAAATAAAATTTTATTTTATTTAGTATTAGCGAATAAAAATTGAATGATGTGAACGGCTTAAAAAATTGGAAGGATTAATTGCATAGCTACTTTTCAGTTCGGCTGGATAATTTTTATTAAATTTCAAATTATCAATTTTAATTCACAGATATTTCTTGCTGCTTATATCTCATAAATTGGCAATTTCAACTCCGAAGGCAAATATTTTTCTAATAAAAACCAACGCTTTTGTGAAGAGAAACCTCAAAGCACAGAACTATCTTCGTTATAGAAAATTTTAAATGTACATTGGAAAGCGTATAATAAGTAAAATATTTAGATGAGTAAAGGAGTTTGTGGAATTTATGCTACTTGCTTTTCGAAAAATGTGTATAACACATGATAAAAAATGGAAATTTATTCAGTAGAGTAAATTGAATTTAGTCCGAAAAATGGAATGTTTACAAAATCGTCGTTCGCCAGGTAAATCATCGAGCAACAATATTTAACCGAATCGAAAGATTGTTTCCCTGAAAGAAAAGCGCTAACGAAAAACACTGGCAAATCGTGTCGTTCTACTTCGAGAACTCATCAACTTGAAAACATAGGAGTTCGGCAACGAAGAGCTTCGTCATCAGCGCCGTAAGTTGGGCAGACCAAACAGAAGGCGCTTCGATGGGAAAAGCTTAATCATTCTACGCGACCCATTACACACATTCCACAGCTGCAACAGAAGACTCACTTGGAGTAAGAGTTATAATGCACGCTCAACGTATATACGTGTACAATCAGACAACGTCCTCGAAATGCCGACGATGTAGGCAGCGAGAGCGAACTTCGCCCGGGGCCACTTTCCTCTCTCTTTCTCTCTCTCTCTCTCTCTCTCTCTCTCTCTCTCTCTCTCTCTCTCCTCTCTCTCTCTCTCTCTCTCTCTCTCTCCTCCTCTCTCTCTCCTCTCTCTCCTCTCTCTCTCCTCTCTCTCCCTCTCTCCTCTCTCTCTCTCTCTCTCTCTCTCTCTCTCTCTCCTCTCTCTCTCTCCCTCTCTCCTCCTCTCCTCTCTCTCTCTCTCTCTCTCTCCTCTCTGCGTGTGTGGCGGCAGGCTGATTAGAACGAACGTGAAAGTCACCTAAGGAGGACGACGAGCATCACCTTTTAATTTATCGCAATGCGAATGCGAAAAAATTCTAGATAGCAGAGAGCACTGCTACACAGTTTGTTCATTTGCAGCAGAGTATTGCTATTGTTTCGCGAGAATCACGAATGGGTTCGTCATTTGAGTTTTCCTTTGCCTTTTTTTCCATTTTTACACGTTTTGCGCGTAACAGGTTGTAGATAGACGTATTTACGATCGATCATGCGAACGCCAAAGAAACAAAAATCGATCCGTATTTGTAAATAAGGAAGTGCATTGTCGATGTGTTCTCTATAGATTTCTTCTCCTTGATTATAGCTAGGGCTTCTTTCGATTTCTCATCGTAATGTTTATTACCTATTCTTGCGCCCGAGTTCCTACTTTACGGTAGCCGCGCTTGCATAGAAAGTTAAACAGAGCCGAATTTATATTCTCCTCGCGGTGGAATCATTGGATGTTCTTGTTGCTTTTTCATTTGCTTTTTCTCTCCGCGCGTTTTTTCGCCTTTGACTTTCGAATCATTCGCGTCGAACAACTGACGATAGGAAAAAAGAAAATATTTTCATAAAAACAGACTTCTAATCAGGTTAATTCTCTTCGTGACACTTAACTTATACACGGTTGCGATACTCGTTTCTTTTCTCGAACGATTCATAAATAATTTTTGATTTTGCAATGTACGTTATCATCGCCACGGTTACAGGGATCGTACTGAGTGACGATTACAGCTGAAGATAAATTGACGGAGAACAACGACGCACACGCGACATGTAATAATCAGTTCTAGATGTGGCCGTCGATCGTCCAACGGAGAAAAATTTCTACCTCATTAACAGAAACGTACTTTCTAATAAGCCGCATGCGATAAAACATTGCAAATAAGCTTACAAAACGACCTCTCGATATGTGCGTTATTTCGATAAATCGAAAGTGAAAATGTCGATGATTGCCACCGGAGATCAATCGAAATTTCTAAAATGTAAATCGAAAAAGATGTGCGAGCATGTAGCGCCAACTTTGTCTCTCTGAACTTTCTATTGGCCGTCCAAGGGGTCAAGCCCTGGATCGCGAGATCGTGGCTTGAGACACACGCGCAAACCGGATACCCATACAGCTACACACATACACACACACACACACACACACACACACATATTTATTTATTCGATTAGGATTTAACGTTCAGTGTTGTGTATCCTAATTGGGTTAGATCTATTTTTGGCGAGTCATGTCGCACAGCGACGATGCGAATGACAATTGCTCATTGCGAAAAGAAATGACTTGTACTTTCTTCTGACACGCGGGGATGCATACATATATTAGCTGGATTGCATATCGTTCGTGATGATTGTATTTAATACGATAGTGGATCCGGTTTGGTTTGGCATTTCGCGTTCAAGTATTCAAATCAATGTCACGTTGGTCCTACTAATAAATCAATCCCCTTGACATTTAGTCGGTTGCCGATTTAAAGTATTTTAGAACAATGTGTGCCACTGTCAAAGTAAAAAAAAGTGAATATTTTCAATATGCTCTCGCTTGCCGTAAAGTAACAAAGAAAATCAAAGACTCGTGGAATTAAATTTAGAATTGCTATTTCGTATAATTCGAAATGCTTCGATGGCAAGTGTCGATTGCTACGTGTAGCGATTGATCTTTGGTGACTACACTGTGTTCCCTGCCATTAACCTCATTGTGCACAGTATTTTGTCGCGATACATTTAAAAATTTCGTATTCAGCGAAAGAATCGACAGCGCCGGTGTGCGCCTTCTCAGGCGATCAAACGCGAATCCAGCATCATTATCGATTTGGAAGTTCGCCGGAGACGACGCAGAAGAGCGCGCGAGTGTCGGCGACGAGCCGCGAGCAGCGAGCGAAGAAGCCCAAACGATTGAATTTCAATCACGCGCCCATTGCAATTCGATTACACGGCGATCTCGCGTCTTCATTAATTGCACGTTATCGCGCGATTAGCAGAAAGACGCGCGATATCGAAGCGGTAATCGATCGCGGCGCGCGTGCACGCGATTGGAACGGACAGACGTTATAAATTTCAAGCTAATATGAAAGCCGTCAATTAATGCGCTTAAGACCGTGCAACGCCGAGTATAAATCATTAGCGCGGATCGCTCTCGGATAGCGTCGAGCGAGGTATTCGCGATCATTCATCAGCGCGCCGAGATGTTTCCTCCCGCCGCGGTTGCCGGCGATAATCCCCGGCGGTCGTTTGCCGCGCTCGCGCGATTTCTCCTTTCCCGTGTTGCCCCCGACGCGGCCAGAAATCACGCACAGCTCGAAAAGAAACCAGATAGACGACGAATCCGCCGCCGGAAGGAGCCGTTGGCGCGTGCGCGCCACTCGGGAGTTCCCCCTGTTTCTTCGTCGATTCACGTACACATGTACGCGTACGCCCAGGCGTGACGTTGCCCCGTCGTCTCGCCGCGCGCGTTATACGACTACTAGCGTGGGATCCGGCCACTTCGTAATCAACCATGCACGCGTATTTTCTTTGGATTATCAAAATTGCCGCTCGCGGAAATGCCGCTGTGATTGCTTCTTTTCTCGGCTGCCAAGAGAAGCGTACGGAAAAAGTGGCGTGCGGAATTGGAGATTAGGCTAGAAAGTGCGGACTTATTCAGAGCAAAAAAGAAAAAGGCGAGAGAGAAAGAAAAAAATTAGCTGGAAGAAATTATTTTCGCGCGCGCGGTGTGTGAACGTGTGAGAAAAATCGCACTGATAGTTAGCAGAGCGTTGCGCGCTTAGAAAACTGAATCCTACAAAAACAAATATTTACCTGCATAATCCGGTGCACAGGCATGACAGGTTGGACAACGTAGATCGGTTGATTTTTAGGCACGTGATTTTGAGCGATGACCCATTGATGAACCATGTTACGCGTTTTCAGTGTCTTGCCGTCGACGATAATCTCCTCGCCGTCGTCGTTACCAGGACGAAGACAGTCGCACAATTTAGGCGCGAGAGTGACGCATGTGTAGCCCGAGACGAACAGTTCGGCTGCACTGGTGATCAAAAGGCCGATGCTGGCTAACAGGCCTGCCCAACCTTCTTCAATGTCCACGTTATCGTCGTCCTGCGGGAAACCCAGATAAGATTGATCGGTTAGATATACGGCTCGTGGGTGGAATTTCTCCTTTCCATTGGACTTGCATAAAACAAATGCAATTTGCAAGTGGACTATTGCGCGAAGATGACGAAACAAATTGGCATTTCAAAATGCAGCCGGATAATGAACGTCGTAAATTATCGAGTATGTGTCAATGCAATGACGCCTGACCAATACAGACTTTTACTACTTGAGCGAAAGCTTAACGGCTTTACGATGAGCATTCCTTTACGAACGTCAGAAGTAATAACTAATTTTTTTATCCGGCTAATTACCGGCTACTATCCTCTCTCGGGTACTTCGATAAACAATAGCGTTATGCAAATATTTCTCATTCGTGCGTGCGCATTATTATTTTTGTTACGACGTACGTATTGATTTGCACACGATGCAAAGTAAAGTATGTAACTGTATTATTGCGACGCGACCATTGAAACCCCAAATTTACTCAAGTCATCGATCAAAATACAACACTTATTGATGCGACATTTTCAAGCGAATGACACTTTAACGAAGCTTCGCGTATGTTTAATTCACGAGCGTTACACGTTGAATTTACCATTAGAAATGGAAAATCGAACGTGTATTATCGTGGTGTTAACGAGGTCAATAAAAATTTCATTTCTCGCAGTTACAACTGCAGCGGCGTGATCTCTCTGGCGTTGGTTTTATTCCTCGTGAAATGAAAACTAAAAAATTACAATCCGTTATTGCCGAAATGCGTACCTAAACCGCAATGCCGCTCCAACGAAAGCGTGAAGATTATTTACACTTTCGATTTTTCTTTCAAAGCTGTTTTGTAATGCACGACGAGGTCTGTGTGTTTGTGTGTGTTTAGAACGCTAATTAGCGTCGTGAAACTTCATAAGTCAGAAGCCAATATCATTATTATCGAGCAACGAAAAATAGTTTTTCTCTTTCGCTTGTGTTACTCGATAAATATGGCGCAACTGTAGATCGAGTTTCTCATGCTTGTGTGCAATAACTTGCGACATTTTTTTTTTACTTTTCAAAAATTATTATTATAAAACGTCGTCGTCATTATATCGATACCGATAAAATTTTAATCGAGCTCTCGTTTTTTGCGCCCGCTGTCGCTCGATAAGATCGCGAGATTGATAAAATTCAATTAATATGCAAGAAAATAGCGCAGCCATCGAGATATACAGGCGAGCACGTGGCGTTTTTAGCTTTCTAATGTTGCCATGCGCGGAAAATCGGTTGAGCACGCAACGCGCCAAGAGAAAATCGTTGCTCGGGCAATTATCATTGGAAGCGTGAATTTTATCTCGCGAATCTCTCTCTCTCTCTCACTCTGTATCCCTCGCCGTGAAAGCCATTAACGCGCTTCGGAGCTAAAGTGCGAAAATAACATGAGCGTGTCCTTATAACACTACAATACTTTCAATGACGTGTACCTGCAAAAGGAGCGCGTCGGGTGACAAACGCATTCGAATGAAATTTCAGCGGATCGGATTTTGCTTTGGCAACGTGTACTCAACAGTGAGCGCTTGAATATGCAAGTGGGATACGTGTAAATCACGCACGGAAATATCGAATAAAAGAGAAAAGAAGAAGAAGAAAAAAGACTTCGACGCTTGGAAATTGCAGAGGTGAATTGAGTCTGCATGACTTGGTAGGATTTCGACGAGAGGCAGTTGCGATAAATTGAACTGATACGCGCGGAATAAAGAATCGCATCTCACTCGAAATGTTCCAACTTATCGTAGAAATTTTCTCCCCGCGTAAACATCTGTAGATACAACGCACGATTGCGAAATTATTTTTATTGCAATAGAGCGTCCAGTGAGGTTCGTAAGGCAAGTACGCAAAACGGCGAAACGTTTGTACAAACATTATGCCTGTCAGTCTATCAATTAACGACTTACTAATTGATATTTGCGTGTATATAATTGTAGAAAGCTGTGCGTGGAATAGTAATTTTGAGTTATTAAACGGAACATTTAGTTGGAAAAGTGCATTATTTAACGGTTTTACAAAATGTTCAATGCTGCTAACGATAGATATATAGTTATGCCGCAAGGAAGTCTGGAAGTAAGACAAATTCTTATTAATGATTTGGAAATGAAAACGTCTAATTTGACAAAGTTACGCGAGGTCACAGTGCCGTTATGATGTCATGCATGCTGTAAACTTTGAATAATCTCGTTGTGAGCGACGTCATAAACCGTTAAATACTTTCGGATAGTACAGATTCTTTCCTTTTCTTTTCTTTTCTTTTCTTTTATTGGAAAAATAGAGGCTTTACGAGCTTACTTACCAAAGAACTTTATGATTTTTGTTATTACTTCGATCGAAGTCAGATTACGCTCAAAGAGTTTTCACTGCTTACCAATCATCCAATAAAAAACACTTGACGGATTATCTTAATTAATTAATTTAAAAATATTCGAATGCGCCAGATCGAGCGTCTCAAAAAAGCAGCAAAATCTACAATCGATAAAAGATGAAAGGAAAATGCAAACAGTCTATCCTCGATCGGACCGGCATCTCGCGTTGAAAATCGCAAATCGAAGTTCCGCGAGATAGTAAATGAAAAAAAGCCAGCGTTTCGCAGCGAGAGACGCGTGAAAGCAGACATAAAGTTTATCAGCATGAATGATCGGCGCAATTGCAATTCCTAACGAGCCCGCTAAACGTCACCTTTTAATCTCGGCATCTTCCTTCCGGCTTAATCAAGATAGCGAAAAACTCACACTTGTACACACACACACACACACACTGCACACTTGAGCGCGCCGCGATGGTTTACGCCGATAACATTTCCCGTGCGCATAACAGTACTTTAGTATATATCCTCGCGTGTGGCATGCAAGCGACAGGTTAATCGTCGCTTTATGTGTGTGTGTGTGTGCGTGTGTGTATTCGAGGAAGTAAAAAAAATTGCGCACGTGTATCCCTTGACCGCCTTTAAAAACACCTTGGCCGTGAACTTTCTCTCCGATTGCTTATAAGAAACCAGGTCGACGCCGACTTCACTGCGGCTGCCGGTCCATGTGAATTTTTACCCGGCATTCTTCGATTGAAGATTCCAATTCAACGATTATTGCGTTGAGCCTGGCGGTGGGAGAAAGTCTTTGCGACTTTTTGATTTTACTTACGCTGTTGTTCTTTTTCAAAGTGGAAGGGAAAGTTTCTTGCGAAGGAAAAGCTCTCGAGGCTTCTGAATATTAGAAGGTACATCTTAGATTTCCTATATTTAAGGTCACTTATATAAATGCTGTAGTAAACGTATGCGTATGGTTTTAAAGATTTCTAATTAATTTTACAGCTTTTTCGCTCATTGATAACTGTGTATAACTGATATTGAGTATAACTGCGTATGATCGTTCGGGAAAGCTCATGTAGATTTCGTTCGAATCTCAAAAACATTAGGTTATCAGCTGCTCGTGCGGTCGCCAAGATTCTCAAATTATAAATTATACCGCGAGAATTCCAGAAGATCGAGAAAAATAAATTTCCAACCATAATTTACGAAATATCAACTTTCACTCAAAGAATAAGCACAGTCATTTTCGAACAGCGTGAAACGATTAATACTCCTTAAAGATAAAACAATTCGCGAGTGCACAAGTTTGGCGATGTACTGGTAACTAAAGAGTGCGTCGACACGTTCAAAAACAAAAAAAAAAGCCACGTAAACGAGTTGCGCTGCAGGGCGTACAGGTGACCCATATATGTTACACCGCTAGACTGTTAAATCAACAGCGAAAAACCCGTTCACGCGTGGTGCTCGGGCTCGCTCGGCGAGCGGCCAAAGGTATTGGAAAGAAAAGTCACTCGAAGGCTTTTCGGAGCCGGAACTGCAAGCGAAAAAGTCAACTTCGATCTGACTGACGGTGCAGTCGAAAAGCATTGAAAATCTTTAAAAAAAACCATTCTTATGTCAATGGTGTCGATCGATTTTTAAACGATTACGTACGATCAACGAGATTTTTAATTTATTCACATTCGTCGCCAATAATTGCGCCGCAATACGGTTTCCGCTTTGTAAAAATAATAGCGACGTTATAAATAAAAAGATTTATATATATATATATATATATATATATATATATATATATATATATATATATATAACTCCAAGAATCATCACCTCGCGCGGCGAGTCAAACGAATCTAGCATTCTCGACGATAAAAAATATGATTCATCACGCGAGCAAGGCTCATCCATCAATCGTCTTGTGGTTGTTCAGCCTGTATGACCTCTTGTGCGTCCATCAAAGGAACGAAAGAAAAAAAAAACGAAGGGAAAAAAACGTCGGGCGCGCACTAATCCACCTTCCGCTGCGCGTTGAGCAATAAAAGTGAAGAAAAGAGGAAGTGGATCCTTCTCATGGCGCTGTACAGCAAATAGCTTGTCTGCAGCACTGTACAGCGTATCATCACGCATGATTTAACCATGAAATCTCGTTTGAAAAGGTGCGCTCGGCGATGCTACGCGGATTAAAGGCTACGATGCTTGTTATGATTACGAAATGAGGCTGTGAGAGCGTTATGCCTCTCCGCGCTCGCGATTATGAGATCATCCAATTTCCAAACGGCGAATAAATAGCCGCGCGCGGAGACGATCGCAATCTGTTTCCTCCGTCCCGCTTTCGCAAGCTGTCGGCCTCGTGCTTTCGTTGCTCGCGAGCGTCCGTCACAAGTTGGCGGTCCGGATTCATTGCCAACGACCAAGCTTACGCGCCGATCGATGGCCAAAGCGCTTTCGAGCCGCGTGCGCGTGCAGCTTTCGACCGGCCGCGCGCACGGGGATAGGCGCCTTGCCGTATAACGCGCGGCGAAAAATCGCTGCCGCCGAATCGCGAGCGCCGCGAGCGACCGCGCGCGCTCGCGGAAATTAAATGGAGCGCATAGCTAAGAGCCGCGCCTCGCGCAAAGAAACCTAACGGTCCGATAGCGGAACCCGATATAATCTCCGTGAATGGGGAGGCTTCTCTTTTTTTCCCTCGGATCGCGATGCATTAATTAGACGATTAATTGCTTATTAAGGGAACGAATCGCCGGCTTTTCTGAACCTCCCGTTGCAAGCTCGAGAGGTCCGGAAGCAGCGACGGGATGACTTTCGTTCGCCGAATGCCCGCGCAATTATCGCCGCGCGCGAGAACAAACGCGTCCAGACAGCCGAGGCGTCGGGCGCGTCTCGCATCTCAAAGCATGTGTCCACTTACCGGAAGCGTGAGCAGCGTGACGTCCGGTGGGCTGCGCTGCGTATCCCTGACGACGGCGGTGAGCGCGGTGATCGCGGCCATGTTCGACATCGCCAGCGCGACCAGGCTCGAGGCCAAGTGCGCCGACGAGAAGCCCGAGCTCGCTCGGCCGTCCGTGTTGGTCGACAGCGTCGCCACTACGCCCAGTGCGCCGGCCACCAGTGCACTCGCTCCTGCCCACAAGCCGGCTCCTGTGCCGCCCAGCGAGGCGCCATGCACGAGGGTCAGCACGCCGAATACCACGAGCACCACACCTGTGGATTCAATGCGGACCATCATGGCTTTTCTTTTCTCACGTTCCAACGGCGACGTGGCGCAACGTCCTCGCGGTCGGCGAACGCGTTACAATATTCATTTTCCCGAAATTCCGCGCTGTCCCGTCATTATTCGCCACAGCTTGCTCATTGCAGCGCCATTTCCCATATTATTTACATCACTGACAGCGTTTCATTTGAAAGCCATGTACGAAATACGTCTGATTGAAGACATTTCAAATTACAAGGCTGCCGGCGCAGTCGCCGCTTTCTTTATTTCAGCTTTAATTGCCCGAAAGAAAAACCAAACGACAGCTGCGGGTTAATAACACGCTGGGCACGCGGACACACACACACACATATATTCGCAGTAACTTAATAAGTTACTGGTCTCTTTTTTTTCACTGCCTTTTTCACAAAATCGTCGTATTATGAAACGTAATGTTCCGTGTATTAGCTGGCAATTGACGTGTGTGCCGCGGTGTAATAAGAGTAATGGCAAGACTGCAATAGAGTCGACATTACGGCGCTCGTGAAAAGAAAAGCCGCGCGAGGTGGGCGGGCGTCGGGGCGCGTTCGAGATGGATAATCAAACGAATATTCTCGCGGGCGCCTCGACATCAACCTCTCTCTCTCTCTCTCCGCGAGCGACGGATAATTAATAAATCTTCGTCTTGCTCGCGCGGGAGATTTCGCAAGCGCGCACCCGATGGGCGATCGTTAACTCGGGATTCAACGGCATTATTATTCGGCGATCGTCCGCGGCGATTTGCATTTTCTAAAAGTGCTCTCGACGAGAGAATCCCATTATCGAGCGAGCCCGCCACTCGAAGCTGTCGGGTGGTCGAGCTTCGCGAGTGAAAAGTACGTCGGCTATCAGCGAAGAAATGAAGAATCCGCGTACAATATGAAACCTTCGTGTTGCGCAATTCCCCGACTCTGCGTGTACGTTCGTCTCTCCGTTTATGGCGTAATGGCAGAAAAAGGATTCACTCCAGGCATCGATACGTGCGCGGTAGTATTTTTGCGATGCGCGCGTGCTCGAGTCCTCTTCATCGGCAAGAGTTCGTTCGAGGTCGGTTCTTTTCACCCCGCGTTGTCAGTTTTTTTTTTTCTTAACGAACGTAGTTCATGCCTTTTCCGGAGGTTATTTTGTGTAATGTAATTGCCATGCGGTTGCGATTAACTTTATCTTATACGGATCTCTCTCGTGGTGTATTTTTTTTAATTTTGTTCGCCTAATTAGTGGCGTCGACGAGATTTCAACTGTACACGAGCTCCTGCAATTTTCGTGTACGTGACATTCTTCAGGACTTTTATTACTTTTCTCGAAAGTGTCGACGATTTGGTCATTGTCGCTGACATCTCGAATGAAAAGAAATAGAAAAAAGACGAAGAAAACATTCTACTCGTAAACATCGAGGTTTCTCTTGTGTTTTTTTTTGTTTTTTCGTTTTAGCGACGACTCGCAATCTGACAAACTTATCAGCAAAGAAAAATCAAGGAGCCGAAAGATCGCGGAGGAATGTTGAACACGCGAATCGTGAATGCCGTGGCAGTACAATAAAAGCCGACAAATAACCCCGGAGAAATGCGGTAAAAACCAAAGGAAAAGGTACAGAAGAAACGTCTGGTCCACATCCAACGACGACGACGACGACGGCGACGACGACAACGACGCGGCAGATTCCTAAGGTAGAGCCGGACAAAGGAAAATTCAACACGGCTATTTTCGCAAAAGCAGCTCCTCGCGTTCTATCGTACAAAAGGAAGCAGCGAAATGCAATACCGCAAGAAAAAACGAGAAGAGAGAGAGAGAGAGAGAGAGAGACAGAGGGAGAGAAAACGGAACCTCCAGCCGTACGGTGTTGGTTACAAGATCATCGTCGCGGATACTTGCAATTTTAAAGCCGCTCAACAGGTCTCTCGTTGGCATGATTGTGCGGTTAAGTGGGTTCGGACGATCTAGTAGCTTATTGAAGCGCTCCTCTCTGCGTTTTTGTTGTTGCACTCTCGCACGAAGATTTATAAGCTCTATTGGGATAATAGCTCCGAGAGTTTTGCGTTTTTAGCATGTTTCCGATGCCTCCCTCAGATTGTTATTGGCTCTTTACCGCGTTATTGCTCTTGCGCTTGCGAGGGGCAATGATGTATGCGCTAAAACGCCGACTCATTGTTCGTCTTTCATTTTATTTGGCTTCGCTTCGCCGAATGGCGCCAGCTTCGGTATTTATTAATGCAAACTCGCTGTCCGTCGGTATATTCAAACAAAAAAAAAACGACATTTCTTTTTACTGCTATAACGCTCCGACGGGTTATATTATTCGAGCATCCAATGTCGGCTTAGATGGACATTTCAAACAATTAATTATCGACGCCAAGCTCGTATAATAAATGCGAAATACAAGCAAGTCTTGCCAATCGCATCGTTTTTTTCTTCAGTAGGCACGTGTAGCACGACGTTATTTTCTTTTCGTTTTTATTTGGCAACCGAAAGTACCGCGTTTGTTATTCAATTGGCAAAGCAACGGCGATTTGACGGACCACTCATTTATCTCCGCGAAAATGCAAAAGAAAAAAATTTATTTTTCCTGCTATTCCGCGTGTTTTGCGAGGAGAGCATCTCATTTGCGCCTTGACTCAATGTATTTCTGATTTATTGCGACTCTGTGAACTTACGAAAGCAGAGCGTGCAAAAAGGAGGGAACTTCGTGGGAAAAGTCCTCCTATGGAAAAGGTAAACTATTTCACTGGTAATAAACTGGCGCGCTGTAACGATCGTCAAATGACGAATCTATATTGCGAGGAAGCCACCGAAATCGGCTAAATTCTAGAGCAAGAGTTTCAAATATTTTATCTTCGGACTTTCGTCTCAGCTTAGCGAGGCAAGCTGGCAGATTCTTATGATCGGCCTTGGAATTCCTTTCACGTGAGTCTCTCTCACACAATGAGATAATGGGGTAATTTCATCTATTCCTAGGCTATGTTTACAGTGCACGTTCACTCCGGCCGTTACTGTAACTGTATGTTAACAAATCAAAAGGTAAACAAATTATCATATCCTCGCTAATAACTACGAGACGCCCGATTTCTACTGCGCCGCGATTTATTGATATAATCGGAGAGCTCACTGTGTTATTTTCAAATTGAGTTATTGTGTATTATTTTCTTTCAATAGTCTTGTTTTTTTATCATTTCGTTTGGGAAAGCACAAGTGACTGTATATACTTGAAAGCCTATAGTCGTGTCACAAGTTTTTGATTTATAGATTTTGAAAACAATAATGAGATTTATTTCACGGAGATATACTCGATGATATCCCAATGAGAATTTTTATGCCCGGGATTTTATGAAAAAAAAAAAAACATTATTCGAGTAACTTTCCCAGCCACCGTTTCCACCAGTGAATAAGCTCCTGCGATTAGTGCGCAAGAAAACTGATTCGAACCTAGATTTTTCAGTTCACGGATGACACGCAGTCTCAATGATAAACCTTTCTCGACAACGGTCACAAGAGATCGTGCTTGAGTTTCACGTTCACGCAAGGACATATCGCGCAAAAGGATAATAGTCACGACAGAGATAGAGAGAGAGAGAGTCAAGGCACTCACCGAGGAGCAGCTGACCACAGGAGGTGAACATAAGAATTCCCGAGTCATCCTTAGGCTCCTGTTTAGTGTGCTGCTGTAATTGTTGCTGTTGCGCTGCCTTCTGCCTCGAATCGATCAGCGCGTCTTTCGAATGTTTCGAATCCAGACAACTGTCCGGCTTCGACGCTCTCGTGCTCTCCGATATCTTCGACGACTTCGTCTCCTTCGAGTCGCTGCTATTGTTGGAGTCCTGACTCCTGACCGTCGAGTCCGCCGTCATTATATTGCACTTTTTGTCGCACTACCGCACTGTCGTTTTAATTTTCACGCCGCTTGAGCAATCGATCACGGTGACCACGTCGGCTCATCCGCCTTCGATCTGAAATTCAAGATTAAGGGATTTTAAGGTGGCGATCGACTGATTAACGATCCGACGCGCCTGCAAGTTCGGAAGTCGAACGCGACGAGGGATGCGGTTACGGTTGCGCGTATCGGCCAAAATAAAGCGAAACGCAGCGAAAGAGTCGTAAGGATATATCGCCATTCAAAAGTTGCCGGTCTCGAGCGAGATTCAATACTATCGGAGTATCACGTCGAAATAAACACATTGTCATTTGGGGCACGCTTCTCGAACAGAGGGAACGAAAGAAGAAGACAACAGGAAGAACGGCTATGAAATTCACGCTTCATCTGCCGCTCAGGAGAGGCACGGCGCAGTTTCACGCGGATCGTGCGGTAGCGCGCGAGCTGCTGCGATGAGTGACATTGAAAGCGGGCTCTTGCACGACTATTCGCGGATGTGGCCTTTTCCACGCCCGCGATAATAGTCGAAATCCAGCGAGGCTTTAAAATCGCCTAACGAGCTCTTGCGCGCCCAATCGGTCGAAGCGCTCGCGTACGACGGACAGTAAAATGCAAAAAAGCTCTCTCTCTCTCACTCTCTCTCTCTCTCTCTCTCTCTCTCTCTCTCTCTCTCTCTTTTATACACACAGCGAATCGTAAAAGACAAGGCAGAAGTGGAGCGCGTGCCGAGAGGCGCTGCGCTGGCCGAATGTAGGATACCAACTTGAAAATGTAACCGAGCCGCCTTAGAAAGCACATTCTCTCTCCAATGTTTAGTCGCTCCTTTTTTTTCTCCTCGACGCTAGCTGCACTTTACAGTTATTATTCTTCCGAGGCCGAGTTTATTGGGCTACGCGTCGCGGAATTATAGATACTTGAGATCTCGCCAAAGCCACGCCAAGGAGTCCGACGACGGTGGACGAAAAGTGATACGTGGGAAATTGAAAAGCCAGCTAATGTTTCGAAAGACGCGCGCGCGAGGATTTGTTTATTATGCATGTGGAGGCAGAGCGCAAAAGACGGAACGATGCGTTTTAGTTACTCGATATCCATTGACGGATATTGCCTTCGCCCCGTTATTGTTGCATCAGGTCCGCGCGCGATTTTCTTGCTCGTTATCCGATCTCTTTTGTGTGCAATAATATATTATTATTATTATTATTTCGTTGCTTTTGCGTCGAATGAATAGAAAGTTCGGCTGCTCTCTCGTAGCCTGACAAAAATACATTGCCCTTTTCTCGCGCTGCTCCCAAACATTATTGCGGCTAATTGCCGCGATGTTAATTCAATGCGTTGCAAGTGCATCGGATCGTCGATGAGCTGCACAGAGCGAGAACAAATTTGCGCGCCCGCTATCGATGACGATTTGCGCGAGCCCCTCGTAAAATTAACGAATCGCAAAATGGATCTAATTTTAGAGCTGACGTCAAGATTAACGCCTGTCGATCGCGACGTTCATTCGCCAGCGCGAGAGGCCGCGATAAGCGGTTCGACTGGTAAGGTCGAAGCGAGCGATTCAAAGAGAAAAGGAGAAGCGAAGCTCCGGTCACGAAAAGCCCTTGCGCTATAATAATCAGACGCAAACTGGTTGATCCTCTCTCGGCCGGGCGATCGTCCGACAAGCGCCTCTTAAATCACCGATCCGCTTTCCGCGCGAGAGGGTTGCCGCGCTCACGGCAGGCAAACATCATCGCGGGGAATTCCCCGGCACGTTTTCCCCCCTTCCGACGAAAAAGACGAGCCGCCGCGGCAAATTGCTAGGCTTTGAGATGCCTCGCCACGACGCGCTTTTCAAAGCCCGGCGCGAAACGTTGATTTGTGGGAGATGCGATTTCGTCGGCGTTTGTTTTGTTTTGTTCCTCTTTTTTTTTTCGGGCTCGTGACGCTCGTAGGTCGTTTGCGCGCTTCGCCTAGCGCGACGACGCTGTTTTACCGCTCGGCGTTTGCTCTTCAGGCGCTTCGAGCATCGGAAAAACGAAGACGAACGGAACGATATCGTCTAAGCGAAAAGTGGCGCGATCGTTCGTTTCTTTCCGTTTTTTCTTTTCTTTTTGACCGTCACCGTGCATTTCTCGTGGCTTGACGCTCGTTCCGTTTCGATCTACTCGCGACGCAAAGCCCCAACCGTTCACCCAAAACCAGCAGCCGATTATAAAAAATTGGAATGGGAATAAAAAAAAGCTGACAAATCGAGAAAAGGAGTCTTACGTTGTATCCGAGAGCAAAGCTCGCGTGCGAGATCCGAATGGAAGCCGGCACCGCACTGGCAATCACACCAAGAAGAAAAACAAAAAAAAAAAAAAATAAACGAACAATAAAAATTCACAAACTCAGTCTCGTTGCGGATCCGTGAGAGAACGCGCGCTCGTTGAAAGGTGCCGCATATGTGCAGTGAGCACGCTGGTGCGGTTGGTCAGTGACTGGCTTACTCCGGCGCGAGCAGGTTGCCGCTGTTGCACGACGATCCTTCCCTTTCTCTCTCTCTCTCTCTCTCTCTCTCTCTCTCTCTCTCTTGCTCCCTACTCGCCGCGCGCGGCGCGTTCCTCCTTTCTCGACTTTTCTCTGCGCGGCGCGGCTTCGACGACAAGTGTCGCGGGCTTGCTATTGTCGTCCATCCTCGGCAGCTACGCTTCGCAAATATAGCTGGCTGCTACTCGCGGGGAAGAGGGCCGTCTCCTGCCCCCCCCCCCCCTCGAGTGCGCGCATTCCGCGCGATTCTTATCGGCGCTCCGCAAGAGAGCCATGCGCTTCGACGACACATATATCGGCAGAAAGAGAGAGAGAGAGAGAGAGAGAGAGAACTCGCTTCCCAGAGATCGATTGTAGGCGTGTGTCGGCGGTTCGTTGTAAGTTGTCCTGCTTTTATTTGCATACCCTGCATGAAAAGTACTTCTAATCTCCGTCTACCGCGAACGGCGCCGGAGCTAACATTACGGTTAACGGAGTTTCTTAGGTCAGCCGAGAGTATTATTGTTATATCGGTTTCTCCCATTTGCGTAATGCGACTGGCTAATTGATAATATATTTTTCATTCGGTCGCTCGCTCAACGTGGATTCTCACAATTCATAGAACTTATAGGAGCACATCGACATCCTAATACCTGGTAATCACCAAAAACAAAGGATACGTTACGATTGTCCGTGTTACAAGTAGATCCACTGATACTGATAATGCGAACAAGAGCGCGCAAGATTGCGGCATTAATTTTTGCAGATAATGCCGTAAAGAGTTGCGCGAGACATGCGGTCTTATCCTTCCAAACGAATGAGGCATATTAAAAGCGTACGCGATAAATGTTATACTTTTTCACCTACAAGGAGATATATCGGGAATCTTGACACGACGCGGAACAACCGTTTGCCTCGATAACGATCGTGCCAAGTATCGCCTTTCTTTACGAGTATCAACGAGACTAGCCGCGAGACGCCATTGCTTGTGCACCCACCGCAGTAGTTGCAGACAATACGGTCGGCCGCGCCCGCAACATCGGAAGAATCCGGCGCTACGTCTTTTCCTACAATACACTCGGTGCGATGACTTCGTCCATTGCCTTGCTAAAAGCGCGCACCCAGCGCGAGGAAAGCAGGGGGGACTACTCGACAAACCGGCCGTTTACCTAATTCGCACCGAGCAGATAAAGCATCGGTGTATTTCTACTAATCGCGAGTGGAAAGCACTTTTCCTCGTAGCGCACGTTGCGTCACGCACGCGGCATTATTTAACCTGTCTCATTGTAAATAAATTGAAAACAAGCGTTTATCTTTTCCGATTCGCCGCGAATAAACATCCGAGCTTCGACGAATCGAATTAGCCAGGCGCACTTTGGATATAATTGTCGAGAGAAAAATTGCGAGAGTGCGCGTAATGGACGATCATATTCATCGCACGCTCGTAAGAGGCAGTGCAATAATCCTTTCACTGATTTCCTTCCTGCTACCTGTCCCCCCCCCCCCCCCCCCCCCGCGCATTCGGCCATTGTCATCCATCTTTAGACTGCGGAAAAACCAGATGCATGTCGTTGCGCATTGTGGGAAACGCGCGCGAGAAAGTCGCGGCGCCGCGCGAGGCTGCTGTTCTTCATCATACGAACCCGATAATCATATCGCGGTCTGCGGCTCGCAATGCGGAAATCGAGCCGGGCGCGCGCGGCTAATTAATCGAGGGCCGCGCGGCGAGGAAACAATTCAGTTTGTCGGTCGGGCTCTTCCACTCGAATTTAATGCCACGCGGAATAAGAAGCGCATAAATATTAGCCGCGAGACCACGTGCTCGCAGTTGTCAACAGCACCGCCGAGAATTCCCGATAAATAGCATATCGCGGATGGGAAATAGCTCGTGTGTGGATCGCCGATCGATAAAATCGGTCGGGGGTCAAGGAGGCAGGCGGCAACAGAGAGAGAGAGAGAGAGAGAGAAAAAGTGACTGCAGATTCTTCCATGTAAAAGCACGTTTCCCCTCGTACACAAGACTTCATTATGCTTCTCGCGGCCGTTTATTATGAAGCCGACGTCGTTTTTCCTACAGCCTGTACCGCCCGTGGAATCTTGCCACCGCCGATTTTTTTCGTCTTTTTCTTCTCCCTTCCCTCGCGTTCGCTCTTCCGCATTTTGCTTGCCCACCACGTTTTCCGTGTGTTTTTATGTACGACGGCGTTTTATTCCGAGAATAAAGCTCGTCGCCTTTTGCATTATTCTGCCCCGAACGAAGTGTCTGCTGCCCCCGCGCGCGGAACTTGTGTTTGTAATTTTTGCGGAATATTCGCGCCTCGCGAGACGCCACACGGGGCGGTATACTTCTCGAGAAAGTTGTTTCGTTTTACCGGCGCGTCTTCACTTTTTGTGGCGCGACCATGACGGTATGCAAATTTTTTATTTATTTTTCGATCACTCCTGGTCTCGGAGATAGACCGACGCGCGCGTGTATTCGGATCGAGCGTGGCGGAAATTACATTTTTCTAACGTTGCGTCAACGCGAAGATCAAGCCTTAGCCGCGATATCAATTTCTTTTTATCGTTGTTTCTTTGGAAATTCCATCGAAATAACGTTCCACGACGTCTCGAATGAAAATTCGCCGTCGCAATTGAAAGTCCAACTCGACGATAGCGACGCGATCGAAAATACTTTGCCGCCGACAACCTCGCGGAAAAAAAGAAAAAATCGACCAATTATTTATCAAAATTCCGTCTAAGGTTGGCCTTCCTCTCTTCACGCTAATTAAGCCTAAAACACACGGTAGCCAATCAAGCCACGTAATCGCGGCTCTGATGCTTATCTCACGCGTGATTTTTCCGCGGCACGGCTTCCAATTTAATCTCTCTCTCTCTCTCTCTCTCTCTCTCTCTTTTGCGCGCGCGCGCGCAGGGCTCGTTATACGAGGGCCTCGCGCAGCCATGCACGCCGAATCTCGCCGGCAGCGTAGGTCAGTGCGCTCGCGCTGCATTCTTACGCGCCCGCCCCTTGCGTCTGCTCCCTCGCGGAGATCCCTCTTGGCCGCTGCTCTCCTTCTTCGTTTTTTTTTTCTTTCTTCTTCTTTCTTTCATTTTATCTTTCGCGGCTCGCTCTAAACTATGCGCCGCGCGCGGGATTCTCCCCTCCCGATGCAATTTCAATGGCGCTTTGTCTTGGCTGCATAATGCGCGCGTCGACCGAGAATGCCCTGGCGCGCGGGTTTGACGAGGAAAAACTCGTACGCCGGACGACACGGTCGCTACTTTGCTCTCGTGGTTGCGCCAGCTCGTCTGGCATACTGATGCTCGTAGGCGCGTGGCATCGGGTATTCGCGTCGCGGCTCGCGGAGTTGCTTCGCGAGTGTCCGCGGTTCGCGATAATTTTCCCCTAAAACGGCAAAGATATAAATAATAACGTTACGATCGAAACACACTTCCGCTTTGAAAATGCATTCCGTTCGGATTTTTTTCAGCCGAGCGCAGTTCATTGTTTCCTCAAAGCATAAAAATGTTCAACGACACGCGCACTGGCGCAGATCTTTTCGGTGATCATTGCGATTCGGATCGACTCGTATTCCTCTGAGGCCGACGACTTTATTGTCGGTCAGTAACCGTAAATTAATAATCGGCCGACCGGAGTTAAATTCGCCAATCGGACTTGCGCAACGCAGCGAGCGACAGCGCGGACAATTTTCACTTTCAACCTAATAAATGCCCGTCCGAGGTCCGCAACGGTCCGATCCCTCCCCGCTACAGGCGGCATCGCTCCTCTTCTCCGAGTTTTCCTCGCCGCGAGCCGCTCGAGGACGCGGCACGACGACGTCGTCGCGTCTCATCCGGTATCCCGCGATAATCCAGCAGTCCTGCGATACAGAGGCAAAGAGGCGCGAGCAACGGCATTCGCGCTTGTTTTCTTTTCGCGCGTGGAAAAACTCGACGACACAATGCGTGCGCTCGCCGCTCGGATCGCAGCGGATTACCGTGCGCGCGCGTGCACCGTTCCGCGAATGTTTCATTCATAAAACGCGGGGGAGGGAGCGCGCGCTCCTCTTCTTTTTCCCCCCGTGTCTTCCGTTTCGCACTCGCGCGCGCGCGAACCTTGCGCATGAGCGCGGTACCGCTCGCGCGGCTCACCTGGCCTTTCATTCCGCCGCGCGTCCTCTTCATTGTCAAGGATGACTTTTCCTGCGCCGCTCGCGGGCTGAGCGGATTGCCCCGGCTGGCTTCGTTATGGAGATTAGGCTGAGACATGTAGTAAATGGAGGAAGCGATAAATGTAATGCCTTGCTCGTGATCGTGACTTCAGTTGCGAGCGGCCAGGCGAATAGATGGCCGAGTCATTTAACATTAGGAAAGCCAGTCTTAATTTACAAACACTTTCAGTCCAATCCGACTCAACGTTATCTCTCTAAACGCTCAGCGGCAGTCACTTGTCGAAGGAGAACGCAGCCATACGTCGAACGGTCAGTCGTAAAATATCCCTCGTCCTGAAAATTAGCCGTTACGTCGGCTCGCGAGAGGCGAGGCATTCCCGGGGAAGAAAAGCTTGTCCGGCTCATCGGAGCGCGTCCGATTGACGGGTGCAGTGCTAGGCGACGAACGAGGCCGATTTGCGCAAGCGAGCCAGTCGAAAAGCCTCGTCGAATTCGCCCGGAATGCGGTTCTGGCGCGCGTTCCCGCGATCGGCTGCTGCCCAGCGAACAGACGCCACGGGTGAAAGTGAATTTCGAAGAGCTCGCGCTCTCGCGAGAGAGCGAGAGAGAGAGAGAAAAACGCGCAGCGGGAAATTTATTTCGGGAGCGCTTGGCTCTCGGTTTCCGCAATATCGCCGGCAGGGTGCACGCCGTCGCGATACTTTGCTCTACTCGTGGACGACGGCGCGATGCCAGTGC